TTAAGAGGCTCAAGTTTGATACAGATCTATATAGGGAAAGATGAATGTTGCAACTCAATGAGCTCGAAGAGTTTCGATTTCACGCATTTGAGATTGCGAAGTTGTACAAAGAGAAAACAAAGAGATGACATAACAAACATATTTTTCATCGTGAGTTTGAACCAGGTCAAGTCGTTCTCTTGTTCAATTCAAGCTTGAAGCTCTTTCCTGGGAAGCTCAAGTCTAGATGGTCTGGGCCATTTGAAGTGGTGTGGGCTACGAAGCATGGAGTTGTTGAGCTACGGGATCCCGAAAGTGATGGCATATTCTTGGTCAATGGGAAAAGAGTTAAACACTATTGGGGTGGTGGCATTTGTCGTCACAAAATTTTGATAGACTTGGTGGATGCTTGAGGGAGCATTTTGCATCATGCCATGATATTGAATCAGGCGCTTTATGGGAGGCAACCCATGGTGATGTTGTAAACATCGTGTCGCGATATTAAATCAGGCATTTGTTGGAAGGCAACCCAATTTGTAGATTAGTTTAGCTTAATTAGATTTTTCTTTTTGTTTTTAGGTACTAACTCGTTGAGTTTTGGTGTTTGAATAGGTACAAGAGCCTATTAGGAGGTCAAAACACATGAAGGATTCCAAACGCTGAAGTGGAAAACACTTGAGTGCATCCTGGACGTGTAGCGAGGCAATAATCACGACATAGGCCAGGCGTCGTGCGCCCTAATGCGAGCTGGCCTTTGCCTTTAACCTGATGCTGCACACCCCAACGCGCGCTCCTGCTCGCCTTTCCTTTTGCCCCGCCAAACTTCCAGCTCACACCACCCCCCGCGTCGCCCCATCTTCTGCAAGATGGGCCTTGCGTCCAAGCTCACGATGCCAGGTAAGTGGTTTTATTTTTTCTCTTTTTCAAACCCCACGCCCCCTTTTAAAAGACTCACACACTCAAAATTAAAATTCTCCCCCGTTCTCTCTTTCACTCATCCAAATCTCTCAAATCTTCTCTCACACACTCATACACCCAAGAAAACCACTAATTGAAGATAACTCCTCCCTCTTTCAACATCTAAGGTATGAATTCTTGTCTATCTTTATTCTATTTTGGGATTGATTGAGGTAAATTGCAACATGCAAACTTTATCAATGTATTGTATGTGAAATTATGCATGCTTGTCCCAACCCCATGAACATCATAGGATTGATATTCTTGTTGCTCAAATGTGTTTACACTCGAATCCCAAGCCGATTTGGGAGGGTGAGGCAATCCCTCATCCAAACAAAAGCTTCATCTTAACTAGTGCATACAATGTGTTTGATAAATTGCCTCAAAGGCACTTTTTGTCCCAATTGAAGCCCGAGTCTCCGGGATTCATACACTAGTGGGTTGTGAGCTTCCCAAGCACGAAATTTAAGTGTAAGGTGGCTCAGTGGAGCGGGATTGATGGTTCAAGTATGGCACTTATATTGTCTTCCCGTATGAACAAGCTGTCTTGAAGCTACAATCAGTGCTTAATTTTAAGAGGTGAAGTCTGAGTAGACTCGACTTACTTGACAACAATGTGCTAATCCCTTAAGTGTGGGGTTGTAAGACCACGTTCTGAATTAATTCAATACCCTCCAAAGTTGACTAACATACACTTGTGCATGTACAAATATTGTATATCCAAAACCAAATGCACCACCAACAGACAAGGGAATGGGCAAAGCTATTGTCCTCACTAAAGGCAAGACATCCTCTGCACTGCCACCGAAAAAGCGAAAAAGAGAAGAGGCCACTTCTAGGCATGCTGAGGGGTTGTACGCAGTTGCAGCCATGGTAGTCTCATGCCCAAGGCAAGGGGAGAGCATGAATATGGGCTTAAAAGTATATCCCCATCCACCAAGGTATGGCACAAGATTTGTAGGCCAAAGCATATGCATCCGGATTTAGCTATGGATGAGCGCTGTTAGCGATCTAAGTATCCGGTAATTTGGAAGTCTATTCATGAGTTAAGGTTGAGCTATGTTTTCGGGAACCCTTGGGACATCAATGTGAGTATCGTTCGCGACTTATATTATGGATGGGATCCGGATGATGATGAGCAGTTGTTCCTCCTTTGGGGAAGGTTAATTGATATCTCTTCATCTGCTCTATGTGCTCACTTGGGAACTCCAGTGTTCCACATGAGCCTTTGGGTAACTTTATTGCCCGACCAATATATCGAGATCTTCGTTACACTTTATGTGGTATAAATTATGTGGATGTCTGGGTTCATGATAAAAAGACTCACCACCGCAGAAAGTTCAAGATAAAGCTGAAGGCTCAAGTCTGATTGAAATTGATCAATGCTCGGTTGCTACCGTGAAATCATGATACTTATATTGGGTGTGAGAGAGTGTGCCTGGTCTATTTCTTAATGACCAACCAAAAGGTAAACGTGGGCCATTTGATATGCCAACAGATGGCACAGGTGTGAAGGAGCAAGAGGATAGATAGATTATTCTTTGAAAATATGTTGACGCAATATCTGAGAAAGGAGGAAGTGGATGAGGAGCCGGAGTTTGACGTGATCATTCCGATACCACCCTGAGGGACTGACATCACGAGCATCCGGTCAAAGAAGGATAATTATATGGCTACGGGTACTGGTGCCGAACGTAATGCTCGTGATGATAGCTTCATGGCCCATTTTTATGGGATACTCGACTTGCACTTATAGATCGGGGGGAGGGAAGCTACTCCGGAGGAGCGGGCCAACTTACATAAGTGTTATACCCTCAATGTTTATGCCCAACGTCTGGTTGGTCTTGGTGAGGGTCATAGATTGCCTGAGGTCAAAGTTGTTAACACACCTGAATGCTCAGAACTCGAGCCAAAGTAGTGTGAGGAGGAGGCCGATAGGGATGCTAAGGGATAAGATGATGATGAGGACTGGGAGGCCACTAAGACGGCCTTCTATGATGAGGGCGATGATGAAGAATGATCAGGGATCTTTCTTACTACTTTACTTGATTTTTATTGTTTTATATATGCATTTGGGACATTGCATACTTTAAGTATGGGGTAGGGATTCTCTATGGTATGTAAATAATAGATTAATTGTTAGCTTCTTATTTTGCTTTTGTAGCAGTATAGTAATTTAGTAGCTTAATATGTTTTTTTAAAAATTAAAAAATACAAAATATTGGAATTTTTTCGACGATGAATCTCCTATGCAGCTTTTTTGAGGGATTAAACTCTAACCAAAAACACAAAAAAAATTAGAAAATAGAAAAAATCGAAAAACTTATCTTTTAGTTTTCTTTTAGGTAGTAATAATCCCCCATGATTTTTCTTTGTGCCTTGATTCTTTTCTATGGGATGTAGTTTGAACCAGGTAATAATATTTTTTATTTTTAGAGTAGATTAGTATTTAGGAAATAAAGGTAGGAATAATGATGAGATTCCTAAGCGCGTTTGACTTGTTTGATAGTAGCATATTTAGGCTTTGGCATGTGTAGTATCTTACCTATATTTTGAAATTGATCATGATGCCTTTATAAATTGGATAGCATATTTTGTGACACCTATGTCTCATTTTCTTGAATTATGTTCACTTTGCGTTTAATGATTAATATCTCGTGGCTTTGTGAATACTTGCTTTAGTTGAGAATCGAAATGGGACCGTCCTTAGTGAGTCATGTGCCATGTGTAGTCAGGCCTTTTTTTGTATAGTTCATGTTATTCTAATTGTATCTAAAACTTGCTCGGTATGTGAGTTGAAGAGAAATTCTAGGTGATGCTCGTTTGAAGAATGATTTTAGGCCTTCTTTGATCTTTTGAGCTTTAATGCCTATCACAAATAAAATTTATACCTAATTAGCCCTTTTGAGCCTATAGGCTTTTATTTGACACCCACATTACAAGCCGATATATTCTTTTTATTCTTAATTGGTATTATTTTGATCCAATTACCACTTAAAGCACTTTAATTATGAAATGAGCGCTAAAAGAAGTAAGGAGGGAACGTGGGAGGCTTTTGAGTGGAACCAATGAAAGGAAGAAAGGTGAACTTGTTTTGTAAAAGAATTCACCACTAGCGGAAATTGTAAAGAAGAAAGAAAAGGGTGATTGCAAAAGAAAGAAATTGCTGAAAAACAAAAGAGATGAAAAGAAAAAGAAAACAAAATATAGATGAATAAAGTGATATCTTGTTCTTGCTAGTGGGGTATGAATTAAGATAGTACTTAAAGAAAGAGGGAACATTGTTGGGGGTGATTTTAGTTGTGAAATTGAATTGGGATTGAAGGATTTGTGCTTAAAGTTAATTTTGTGATGTGTTAAAATGCTTAGGAGGGTGAACCATTATTCCTAAAATATATCCTGCCCATCCCTTAGCCCACATTACGATCATGAAAATTTCTAATTGATTTTAGATCGAGTGAGCCTACATTATTAGAGATTTGCATTATGGGCAAGCCTATGGTACCTATTGTATGCATGTGATTTCTTCGTGAGAGTGAGCGATATTCTTTGATATATGTGAGTCCTTGAAATATACTTGAGCATTTGTTTTGAATGTGTGGGTTCAACTTACTCTCTTGTTCTTGTTGTGAGGGTATGGTTTCATGAGGGATAGGTAACGTTATTAGACTTCTCTATGATGTTGGGTATTCAAGTCATGAGTGAATATTGACATTGAGTTGGTTTTTTGAGGCTAGTATTGTTATGAGCATGTTGTCTTTGTTGTAAATATTTTTGAAGTATGGCATGAGAAAAGGGAAGTGTATGGGATTGCATATGCTGAAGGTTTAATTGTTGCTATCAACCATGGTCATTGGTATAGTATTTTTTAAATGTATTAAATATAAATTTCTCAAGGATAGTGTGAATTATTGGTTGACTCAAGGACAAGCAACGTTTAAGTGTGGGGTAGTAATAATTGGCTATAAATGTATATTTATAGTATATTACTTGCCTTATATTTTGGGGTTTTAATGATAATATGTGCAATGTTTTCGGCTTAATTGTGTCATTTTTATGTGTAGGATCGTTGGAATATGAAAACGAGTGAAGGTTTCACACAAGGATGTCAAAAATACACAAAAAGAGCACGAAAAGGCAAAAAACAGAAAAGGCCAGGAACCAGGCTCCAGGCGAGGAAGCAGGCGACGCCTGGCTCCAAGCGAGGAAGCAGGCGACGCGAGCTCTAATGCTCTTCCTCAGGTCAGGCCTCGCGAGCTCTGAGGCCTGGACACTTTTGCAGTCCATGCATTAAATGTTTCCCACTTTGTTTTGTACTTGGTTACTCTGACCCTAGCCTATAAATACCCCCTAAATGTGATTAATGAAGAGTTGGTCAATTTTCAAAGGGGGCAAAGGCATAGAAATAAAAACGGAGCATGGAATTCATTGAATCTTCCATCTTTCATCTAGTATTCATAGCTTCTATGTTTAAAAATAATACTTTGATTATTGTTATGAACATGAGTCGCTAAGAACCTTATTATTCTGGGGTTATGGGTTGCTATTTACTATTTGTTTTTTATGGCTAATTATTTTGCTTGAGTTATCATATTAATTTGCTTATTTAGTCTTGCACTTAATGATTATATTGCATAGCTAACAGTAGAATACTATTTACAAATTTATAGTTGAACTCAAAAGTGGGCACTATAGATTGCATATAAGATTGACTAGAGTAAGTTCTTGAATCCGGGCATCAGAGAATAGATTTGCAATTAGGATAGACAAATTCTAGTTGCCTTACTTGATTATTTTCATAGGAAATATACATGCATTATTGTTAATTCTAATTCTATAGACATATAGTATTATGTTGTCTTGAATAGGCAAGCGAAGCGTCGAAAGAACTTTGCGAGATTAATAAACCCTATTAACCAATAAATTAGATAAATTAAGTAATTAAATCAACCGGAAGAACGCAATAGGAGAGATATTAATCTCATAACCCCGGAATATTCCCATCTCATTAAATGCTTCCTAAGTGTTTGCATGTTTGCTTTGGACCTTTGAATTGCTTGCTTGATTGGTAATTTCATAGTAATTTTTAGTAGTAAAAATCACAACCATCTTCTTCACAACCACTTGAGCAATTACTTATAAATAGTTTAGAGTAGATGAGAGTTAATCATAAATCCACGTGGGATGATACTTTCTCATCACTTTATTACTTGTCAACCGCATATACTTGCATGTGCATTTGGATCCAACAGTGATACAACACAAGTGAGAACCCTTCTAGGCTCCAAAATATCCAACTTCACGAACATGTTGGCCAAGGCCTGAACATCCAAAGCTAATGATCTCCCCACAACTGGAATAAAAGCAAGACTACTAATGCCCTCAGCCTTCCTACTAAAAGCGTCGGTCACCACATTGGCCTTTCCCGGATGATAAAGAATGGTGATATCATAGTCTTTTAGTATATCTAACAACCTCCATTGCCTCAAGTTCAGATCCTTTTGCTTGAATAAGTGATGGAGACTTCTGTGATATGTGAACACCTCACAAGACACGCCATAAAGATAGTGCCGCAAAATTTTAAGCGTGTGAACAATGGTTGCTAACTCCAAATCATGAACTAGGTAGTTCTTCACATGGAGCTTCAACTGCCATGAAGCATAAGCAATCACTATTACCTCCTGCATCAACACGTACCCAATGCCAATTTGTGAAGCATCACAATAGACTGTATAAGAACCCTATCCCGAAGGCAAAACCAAAACTGAAGTTGTAGTCAAGGTAGTTTTGAGCTTCTAAAAGCTCTCCTTACACTCATTAGAACACCTGAATGGGTCACCCTTCTAGTCAATGGGCCTGCTATAGATGAAAACCCCACCACAAAATAGCGATAATACCCAGCCAACCTAAGAAAACTCTGGATCTCTGTAGCAGTAGATGTTCTAGGCCAACTTTGAATTGCCTCAATTTTCTTTGGATCTACCTTAATCCCATCACTAGATACCACATGACCTAAGAATGCCACCGAGTCTAAGCAAAAATTGCACTTGGAGAATTTAGCATATAGCTTCTTCTCCCATAAAGTCTGGAGCACGATCCTAAATATTGCTCATGATCCTCTCGACTGCGAGAATACACCAATATATCATCAATGAAAACTATGTCGAAGGAATCCATATAATTTGAACATTTAGAAATTTCATAGGTTTGACCATGGGTTGGCTTTGTGGCTATCGGGTTCGCATTTTTGTTTCGCGACTTGAAGTATGTCTCTTTTATCATTTGGAACTTCTGTGTGAAGTTTGTTGTCATTCCAAGTTGGTTTGGTAGGAATCAGACGCTTGGTTGTGAATATTGAAGTTCTTGAGTTTCATAGTCTGCATGATGCATTTTGGTATTCGATTCTTGGTTTTATATATTATTTTGTTGCTCTAAGCGTGCGAGCGAGTTCGTATGATGTTTATGCACTTGTGTGAATGGTTTGTGTGGGGGTCGATGTAACGACTCGGTCGGTCATTTTGAGTATTATAGCCTTATTTCCCCATTTATTACTTATTCTATGCTCATTTGAATTTATGTGACTTGATGGGGTAGTTGGTTCGGTTGCGGGGGATGTTTCGGAATGAATTGGGAAGTTGAAAGAGTTGATCGGATGTTGACTTATGCATAAATGACTCTATAATGGAGTTTTGATGATTTCGATAGCACCTTATGGTAATTTTGGACTTAGGAGTATGTCCGAATATTGATTTGGAGGTACGTAGATGATTTAGGCTTGAATTGGCGAAAGATGGAAAAATTTGAGGTTTGGAGAGTTAAGAAGTTTGACCGAGAGTTAACTTTGTGGTTACAGGGCTCGCATTTTCTTTTTCGTAAGTTAGAATAGGTCCGTTGTGTCATTTATGGCTTGTGTGCAAAATTTGAGGTCAATCAGAGTTGATTTGATAGGTTTCGGCATCGATTGTAGAAGTTAGAAATTCATTAGTTTCAATAGGCTTGAATTTGGGTGCGATTCGTGTTTTTGATGTTCTTTTATGTGATTTGAGTCCTCGACTAAGTTCGTATCGTATTTTACGACTTGTTGGTATGTTTGGTTGAGGTCCCGGGGGCCTCAGGTGTATTTCGGATGGTAACGAATCAAAAATAAGACTTGGAGCATTGCTGAAGCTGAGGGACCTTCTAGTGTGATCGCACATGCAAGAGCATTGGTCACAGATGCGATGCCGCAACTGCGGATGGAGTGGCGCAGAAGCGAAGTTGGTCTGGCTTGGAGTATATCGCAGGTGCGGAGGGGGAAGCACATCTGCGAGTCGCAGTAGCGTGCGGTCTCGCTGGTGCGAGCCTTTGGCCGCAGAAGCTGCAGGTTAGGGGTGGAGTGTAAATCCACATATGCGGAATTTTGATCGCAAAATCGAAACTGCATAAACGGTTAAATGGTCCGTATAAGCGAAATGTCTGGGCAAAATTTAAATTCGAAGGGTTTCAAGCTTTTCTCATTGTTAGACTTCGGAAGCTCGGTTAGAGGCAATTTTTGAGAGGGGTTTCACGAGATTTCTTAAGATAAGACACTTTTGGTCATTTTTATATAATTATATTGATTACCTATTGAATTACCCCCATAGATTTGGTGTTTTTGAACTAAAAATTGCGGATTTTTGACCCATGTATTAGAGAGTAAAAATTGGAGGTTTGAGTGACGATTTGGTGTCGAAATTTGGTAATTTTTATATGGTTGTACTCGTGGTTGAGTGGGTGTTCGGATTTTGTTAATTTTGTCATATTCCGAGATGTGGGCTCGGGGTTGACGTTTTGAGTTGACTTTTTGACTTTTGTTTAAGAACTTAGCTTTATCACATGGAATTGATTCATATATCTTATGTTGATTCTATCGAGTTGTTTGTGGCTAGATTTGAGTCATTTGGAAGGCTGATTCACGAGGCAGGGGCTTGTTGGAGTAGAGATTTGCACAGGTTGAGGTAAGTAATACTTCTAAACTTGATTCTAAGGGTATGAATCCATGAATTATGTGTTATGTGATTGGTGTTGAGGTGACTCATATGCTAGGTGACGGGCGTGTGGGCATGCACCGTAGAAATTGTGACTCGGTCTATTTTGTGGAACTGCGTAGTGATCTAATCTAAGTATTATTTATGTACTCTTCATGTGTTAGAGGAATTGAGCTTTGATTCATGTTATAAATCATGCTTAGGCTATATGCTAGTACTGTTGGGACCCATAGAGGTCGTGTTGCTGTTGAATTACTTGCCTAATTTGCAATTATGTACTCAGTCAGAACTATCATCTGCATATCATATCTCAATCTCTACTACCATTTATTGATACACCATATTATTATTGTTTGGGATGATTGTCATGAGATTTGTGAGCCCGATAGACTGGAGAGATTGATGACTGAGTGAGGTCGAGGGCATAATTGTAAGTGATGTTTAAGGGATCAGGTTGTATGCTGCAACAGGCTTTATTGATTCATGCCATAATGGGCTTATTTTAGCACTTGGGCAGGATCCGCCCCTTCGGAGTTTGACTTACCAACAGCGAGCGTAGGTACCTACTAAGTGCGAGTGCCGAGCGATTAGGAGGACTGAGTGTTTGTGAGGACTGAGTGACTGTTATGACTGGGTGACTGGAGGACAGAGTGGCTGAGAGGACTGAATGACTAGGAGGACTAAGTGAATTGATACTCCAAGAGTATGCATATGACTTTATCACTGTGTTGCATTATAGTTGGCATGCATAATTGACATGTAGGTATAGCGATGTATCATTCCTCATTTCAGTCACAATTGGCATATTTTATCCGTAAATTTGAAATCCTTCCTACATTTTTGTACTATTAAATTTTGTATTTGGCATGTACCTGTTGAGCTCGTCACTGCTTTCAACCCAAGGTTATGCTTGTTACTTATTCAGTACATTGGGTCGATTATAATCATATTACACTTTGCACTTCGTGTGTAGATCCAGGTACTTCCAGGAACGGCGGCTGCTAGCTTTGGAGCTTTATCGGTTGGAGACTATCGAGGTAGCTGCCTTGGCGTCCGCAGACCTTGACTCTCCTTATTTTTAGTTATAGGTACTATTCTATCTTTCTAGACAATGTTTTAGTAGTTTGACTATGTTGTCATTTAGATGATCGTGTACTCAGTGACACTCAGATTTTGGGAAATTTTGTATTGAGCCACGGTATTTTCTTATCATTTAATTATAAGATTTACTATTTAAGCTTATTTCATATGTTTAAAGAAAAGATGCATGTTAAGTTATGAGTTATCGGTTTGCCTAGTATTGTGATAGGCGTCATCACGACATATGAGATTTGGGTCGTGACAAGTTGGTATCAGAGCTTATGTTACATAGGTCTCACGAGTCATGAGCAGGTTTAGTAGAGTTTTGCGGATCGATACAGAGATGTCTGTACTTATCTTCGAGAGGCTGCCGAACCATTAAGAAAAACTTCACTCTCTTTCATTCTTGTCGTGCGAATATGTTGATTCCGGAAAC